CTTGGCAGAGCTCCTCAAAGCGAGCACGGGTGAGGGAGGTGTAGAAGTCGATACCCTCGAAGAGGGAGTCGATCTCGATGGTGGTCTGCGCAGCCGACGAGAGAGTACGCTTGGCACGCTCGCAGGCCGTGCGGAGACGACGGAGAGCACGAGGGTTGGACGAGAGGTCTATAAAGCGGTTGTCAGCGGCATGTTCTCCTTGGTGAGGCGGGCTCAACGGTGACTTACCCTTCTTGTGCTTGCGCTTGAACTCCTGGACGAAGTGGTTGACGAGGCGGTTATCGAAGTCCTCACCACCGAGGTGAGTATCACCAGCGGTGGCCTTGACCTCGAAGATACCCTCCTCAATCGTCAGGAGGGAGACATCGAAGGTACCTCCACCGAGATCGAAGATGAGGACGTTGCGCTCGCCCTGGGTCTTCTTGTCGAGACCGTAGGCGATGGCGGCGGCCGTGGGCTCGTTGATGATACGGAGGACGTTGAGACCAGCGATGGTACCCGCGTCCTTGGTCGCCTGACGTTGCGAGTCGTTGAAGTATGCGGGAACGGTGACGACCGCGGAGGTGACGGTGCCGCCGAGGTAGGACTCCGCAATCTCCTTCATCTTCGTGAGGACCATGGAGGAGATCTCCTCAGGGGACTGCGGACGATTGGTTAGCGACTTGTTCTACGCTGCAAGCAACAGGATGAACTTACGAATTCCTTCTCCTCACCACGGTACTGGACACGGATGTAGGGCTTGCCGCCCTTGTCGAAGACGGTGAAGGGGAAGTGCTTCATGTCGGCCTGAACCTCGGGGTCGCTGAACTTGCGGCCGATGAGACGCTTGGCGTCGAAGACGGTGTTGTGGGGGTTCATCGCGACCTGGTTCTTCGCGGCATCGCCAATCAACCGCTCGCTGTCGGTGAAGGCGACGTAGGAGGGTGTTGTGCGGTTACCCTGGTCGTTGGCGATGATCTCGACCCGATCATTCTGCCAGACACCGACGCAGCTGTGAACAGGAGTCAGTACGCGATCCAAGCGATAGATTGAGGCAAGTTTACTCACGAGTAGGTGGTACCAAGATCAATACCGATCGCCTTGGTCATCGTGAAGGATGAAAAGCGGGGAGAGAGAAATTAAGAAAAGCGGATAGGGGAAGAGAGTATGAGATGAGAGTACAAGTCCGTTCGTAAAATGAGTCGTTGGGGGGTTCCTGCGCCGGGCGAGGGCTTATATACGCCCTCGCCCGGACACCTTCGACCGTCTTCCGCAACGTTCGACGTTCCTTCTTGCCCTTTCCAGAGTATTCCACCCGTCACGTCACCCCACAAAGTCACGTGTGTCACACCCCCGTCCCTTCCAGCCACTTCCTGCCTCTTCCCCTCTCCGCTCGCCTTGCGCCCCGGCGCGCACCCTCGAACGTCGCAGACAATTCGTCCGTGCTCTCGACATCGCTCGCCGACGCGCGTCATTCCCGCTCCGCTCCAGCTCTCGCCCGACGCGTCCGCCCCCTCTCGGCGCTTCTCTGCTCAATCAGGCGTTGCTTCTTTTGTGTATCCTAGGATCTTCGCGTACCCTGCCGCTTACAGCTACTCGACCCTCGTCTTCTGAATACACGCACTCTGCAGAACTTATCATAACCGTGCGACGCACGGCCGTCGTTGTTACATCATGGCTATGTAGATGGATATCTTGATATCTGCCACCATTCAAACAGCGCCTGACGAGCAATCGATATGTCCATCGAGGGCTGCTGTTCGTGTCGATTCACTGCGCGTGTACTCAGCGTGTTTGTCCTTCCTGGGCTGCATCGGTCAGACGTACGAGATACGCCCACAATAGACGGCCGATTGTCGGCGACGATTCACTATCGTTGATGTCGTCACTTGTATAAACGGCCAAGGCTCGAGACAACCACTGTGAAGCCTGTAGAGGTAGCCTCGTCACCAGGATCAACCGCGTAAACGCAGCTGGGCTCGACGCGTACACGTCGTGCGTCCCCGTCGCGGTGGTGGCCGACACGGCGCGTCGAGCGTCTAACGCGTGACGGACGCGCCCGGGGCGCATCGTGGCAGCTGCCTAATCGAGGGGTACTTGTGCGCCTGAATTTTTGGACTTGTTACTCCAGCGTGAGCGGGCATCGTCTGCAGTCGTCATGTCTGTCCCCACTCCCGTCGCCGTCGACGCGCCCCCCGTCTCGCCCCCTCCAGTGCCAGCGCCGGTCGCTTCGTCTTCCTCATGGCCCTTTGGTAGTCTCTACAACCGCTTTGCGGCGTGGAGGAAGTCCCTCGACCTCCCTAACCCCGGCACGGTCGAGAACCTCTCCAAGGAGTCGAAGCGTGCGTCGTGTCCTCGAAATGAAACTCACCCAGCTCACAGGTAGCCGTTAGAAACGCTGCTGAACAACTTTGCGTTCGATGGCGCGAGGGCCGACCTCTCGAAGAGCTTGTCGATGAACCCGATGTTCCAGGTCACACATTCGTTCCACCTGGGCTCGCAGACGGCCCCACCATCATACCACTTTGGTGCCGTCTTCGCGAACGACAAGGTTAGTAGAGTCCTCGTAAAAGATGCCACGCCTCTCGTTCGGCCCGCTCACGTTTCCCGCAGCTCTTTATGCACGGTAACGTCGACAACGATGGGAACGTGTCAGGGCGATTCAACCAGGGCTGGAGTGCGAACAACGTCTCAAAAGCACAGGCGCAGGTACGACGCATCCCCTACGCTATTTGCTATCCAGCCACGTAAGCACGAGAGAGTGACCGCCACGTCTGCAGCTGTCGACACAACCCGGTCAGAGCTTCCTCCAGATTGAGCATGACTACCAGGGCTCCGACTACTCGCTGAACGCCAAGGCGGTGAACCCCTCCCCGGCCGACTTCTCCGGCATCTACATGGGCTCCTACCTGCAGTCGGTCACGAAAAACCTCGCTCTCGGTGTGGAGACGGTCGTGCAGCATCAAGGCCCCGGCCTCTCCGATGTCGCCGCCGCGTATCTCGCGAAGTACACCAGCTCGGACCGCAACTGGATCGCGACCGCGCAGCTGCAGGGGCCCGTCATGCAGGCGACGTACTGGCAGAAGCTGAGCGAGAAGGTTGACGTCACCGCGGATCTGCAGGTCGTGGCTGCTCCTGGTCGCCGGGACGCACTCGCGACGCTCGGTGCGCGGTATGAGCTCCGCATGGCGTCGTTCCGCGCACAGCTCGACTCGACCGGTAAGGTCTCTGCGTACCTGGAGCAGCGGTTCGCGCCCACGTTCGCGTTCCTTGTCTCTGGTGAGATCGACCACTTCAAGGTACGTCCCGCCCAGTCCTCTCGGTGTATGCTCTTTAACTCATCACTATCACCTTGTGCAGAACGCGGCTAAGGTCGGCGTCGGTGTGATGATCGACAGCTCCAGCCTGACCCCCGAGGAGATGGGTATGGTCCCGCCACCTGGCGTTCCTACCGTCCCCATGCCTCAGCCGTAGGACTCTTTGAAGTACATTACCATAGCGTAGAATATTAGGTGCCTGCGTGTGCCCGTACCCCCTCCTCATGCTCCGTAATATTGCAATTATTTTGCATCGTTTAATCTCCAGTGGGCCCAACTCTGCCCCGCGAGTGCCCAAACAACACCCCGAGAGACGATAGCGCGCAGTAGGCGCTCCCCCCTCCGCGTGGCTTTGACGCGCTCTGCCCCTGGGACGTGTTCGTTAGCGCCCGTCGGTGGCTTCACAGCAAGCTATGACGACGATCCCTTCGGAAGCCGTCCCAGACCGCGCAGCGGGACGCGTCTGTACTCGAACCACATTCCCGCGGCTATAAACCTACGAGAAGCACCCGTTCTGGCGAAGTCGCGAAGATGGCAGATGTGCCGCTGCTCGAATTGAAGAACGTCGGCTGCTACAAGCAGAAGGGCCAGCCTATATTCACCGATGTGAACCTGAAAGTGAACGAGGGCGAGGTTGTTGTCCTGCAGGGCAAGAGCGGCTCGGGGTATGTCCTACTCAGTGCGGTGTACCGTATGCTCGCTGACGGTATATGCGACCTATTCACCATGAATCCGATGCAGGAAGTCCACGCTGCTGAAGTGCATATCGCACCTAAACACCTACGAGGGCGAAGTCCTGTACAGAGGCCGGTGAGTAGCGTCTAAATACTACCATATATTCTATTACTGACAGCCACACTTTCCAGGACACCGCAATCATACGGTACGCGTTCGACATGAACTATTGATACATGGGGCTGACGACCATGCTACGTAGGCATTCCCAAGTACCGCACGCAAGTACTCTATGTGCCCCAGCGACCATCCCTGCTGCCCGGCTCCCCGCGCGACTTCCTCCGCGCTGTCTCCGAGTTCTCCGTTCACAAGCACCCCTCCGCGAAGGACAAAGCCGCGGCGACGCTCACCGATACCCTCGGGCTTGGCCGCGCCGACTCGGACATGGGCGGGCACGAGGCGCTTGCGGTCGCCGAGTCCTGGGGCATCGAGCGCGAGCTGTGGGACCGCGCGTGGGCGAACCTCAGTGGCGGCGAGGCGCAGCGCATTGTGCTCGCCATTGCGGTCGGGCTGGACACGGCGGAGGTTCTGCTACTGGACGGTATGTCTGAGAACCTTCCACGTGAACTGCGGCGAGGGCTGACTGGGTGTCGTGGGCTTTAGAGCCGACGTCTGCGTTGGATGCGGAGTCGTCGGGGAAGGTAGAGCAACATCTCGTCGCAGAGGTCAGGTCTCCAGACTCGAAGCTCAAGGCCATCGTATGGATCACGCACTCTCCTGAACAGGGTGAGCGGGTTGGGACTCGCTTTATTCGCGTTACGTCCGGGGGTGTCCGAGAAGAGAACGTAGATCCCGGGGTATAACTCCGACATCACTTTTCTCTCCGGCGTGTGATGAGAGGGGACTTCTACTATTACGGACGTGTACTGTAGGCACCTTGAACCGTGACGATGTCGACGAACTGCAGCATAGGCGGATAGATTCCAGCAACGCAATATACACAACAGCTACAACAGCCTCCTTTCCTATGGTCCCCTAGCTCAATTGGTCAGAGCATTGTACTTATAGGGATATCTCTGCCTTGTCATGCAAGGGTTCCGAGTTCGATCCTCGGGGGGACCAGATTTTTTTCCCCCGTCAAGGGCTTCTGGGTGACAGCAACAAACAGGCGATATACAGATAATCTAGCAGAACTTGTCCTAGAACATACAGCGATACATCATAGCCTAGACAAAGACAACAAGTCGATCGCCATACAGTACAAGTACATATATCCTAGCTTCAGGCATCATCTCGCGACACCCTTCCCTTTGTCCGTCGATGTAGATGGACCGGACGACAAGGTAGAGGGAGCAGACGGGAGGAAAGTAGGCGTCGTAGCCGTGGGCGGGTTGAGCGTTGCAATAGAAGGGGTCGTGGTAGCGGCAGTAGGGGTACCGATAGTGGGAGCCGTCGCCGTCAACGGTGCGCCGTTCACCGCCCGGATTCGCTCGACCCACGCGGAGATCCACTCGATGGAACGGATGACGGGGGCCATGTGCGTCCTGAGGTCGCCGTTGACCTGCTTGGACTGCTCTTGAAGCAGGTGCCGGATGCGTGCGAGGCCTTCGTCGAGGGCGCGCGTGAGGTCGCCGCGCGTCTCGTCGAGGATCCGGGGCCGGACCGCTTGCACGATTTCGTCGGCGGTGAGGGAGGGCGGAGGGAGGGGCGGGTTGTACGTGTTGGCGGCGAGCGCGGTGATGACGTCTCGGAGCGCCGCGATTTCCTCCGTTTGCGTGGTGACGACTCCGGAGGATTGCTCTTGCTTGCCTTTGAGCTGCGGGCAAAGTCAGCTGGGGCGGACACCGAGCTGTCAGAATCCTAGATAGTATGTACCTCCTCCAGCTGTTGTCGTATCGCATTGTTCTGCTCCTGAAGAGCGGCGTGCTGCTTGTCGCGTTCTTCCTCTTCGACCTTCAGCTGGGCAAGCACAGACGTGATTTCTGCCTCCCGCGCTTGTGCTGCCTTCAGGTTTTTGCGTAGGGTATCGACCCTGTCGACGAGATCCGCGTCCGCAGGCTTGTCCACACGGCCACCTGCATCGATACGCAGGTTCGATAGGCGGTAATCGAGCTGGGCCTCCACCTCTTCAGCGACCTGTCTGTCGAACTGGAGCATTTCGTTCTGCACTTCGGCTATACGGTGAGCGAGCGTAGCGAGGCGGTCTTGCATCTGCTCTAGTTCGGCCGGAGTGAAGCCCGCTGTTTCAGCACCACCCTCCGTCGTCAGGCGCCGCCGTTTCCTGGACCCGTCACTCGGAGGTCCAGCGACGATCTCCCCCGGTTCTGGCTTCATCGCAGACGTACTAGAAGACGCTGCGGCGGCGCTTGCAGCGGTCGCGGAGGCTCCTGCTGCGTGAAAGTTACTGATAGCGGCGTGCAAGCTCTCGACTTCCCCGCGAACCACTGCTACGACGTCTGTCATCCGCTGGTAGCCGGGGTCGGACGTCATCTGAGCCCGCTGGGCGAATGGCCAGAACTCTTCTGGGATGAGTTTCCCTGCTATGCGATTGAGCTCCTGCTGCGTCTCCCGGAAGCGTGCGGCCGCAGTGGATTTGAGCTGCTGAAGCGCAGCTCTCTCCTCTTCTGGTAGAGTTTCATATGTCACCGACTTCAGCAGCCGCTCGTACTTCTGCGTTTCTTCGTAGAAGCGAACTTGTTCGACGCGAGTTTGGACAGCCTGGGCGAGGACCCTGGAAAAAGGGAAGTTCGACGGCTGCCATACTGATGGACGCAGGAAGAGACGTACTTGACGCGTTCATGCCAAAGCATACGTTTCTCCTCCTCCGTAAGGTCCTTCTTCGGTGCTGGCGGCGCGGGGGCTGCCTCGCGATCGTACGCATCGGAGGGGCGACGATGCTCGGACGTCGACGGACGACGGGTGCGCGAGCTCGATCGGCTCCTGCGATCCCGGGGTGGGTCCTCCCTTCGTCTCTCCCCATCCCTATGATAATCCCCAGAGTCCCTCCGCCGCTCCTGCTCTCTGCTGTGCTCTTCATACCGCCTCTCGTCTCCCCGTCTCCGATCGTCGTCTCGATGCCTGTGCCACTCGTCTTGCCTATCTCTCGACTCGTCCTGCGCTCGCACGCCATTGGCTATGTACTCACCCCGACGGCCTGCGCTCGATGCGATCGATGGCGCGGGCGAGTGGCCCCGGGACTGTTCCCGTAGGGCGCGAGGCATGCGCGGGGGGTTCATGTCGACGTCCTCGTCGTGCCCACCGACGGACGAGCTGGGGACGCGGTCCCTCCGGAATTGAGGTGGGGGTGGGAGGCCGTACGGCGATGGCGGGACCGGGCCCGGTGAAAACGACGGTCGGGGCGGCGGATGCAAGTGGACGGGGAGAGTGTAGAACTTGGGAGGGTCTCGAGTGGCCGGCTGAGCTGTGTCCCACTCGGGTTCGCCTGGATGGGCAAAGTTGCAGCGGTAGCTGGGCTCCAAACAGCCTTTTCCTCCGTCTCTGCGTTCGATCGGCCGCCCGTCGTCGTGGTACCACTATACAGGTGCGTTGTTAATGTTGCGGACAAGGGTAGCCGGCGGACGGGACGCGGGTGCGAAGCGGATGGGAAGCGAACGGATGGGCGCGTTGTGTATAGCGCGCATGTGGTTCTACAGGGTCGAATGCGCAAACTGAGGGACGTACATAGCATCGCCAGATCTTGTATCTATCCTTGTGTCTGGCGCCTGGATACTGCATGTTCGGGCGTTGATTCGAATGGCAGGAACAAGTTGGTAGGAGGCACGGCTGCACCGAGACGAGCTCGAGATATATGTATGACAAAGAGTAGGAAATAGTAAGAAGCGCGCAACCCGAACGCGGACGTATGTATATATACTACAGTGGAACAGGCCTATAAGTCCGCGAACTCAGCATCAAACTCGGTCTGGCTCAGGTGTCCTTTCTTCACTCGCTTTGCCATCCGCTCCTCCCGCGCGAGCTCCGCCCAGTCGTCCTCGTCGTCCCCGCTCCCAACGCTGCCGTCCTCGAGACTGCGCTTGCTACCCGCCTGCTCTGTGGCGGCCGCACCCTGGGTCTTCAGCCACTTCTTCTTGCGGTCCCTCTTCTCCTTCCTCTTCTCCCGCTCCTCCTTCTTCCTCATCTTGTCACTCCAGGCAGAGTTCGCCTTCTGCTTTTCTGCTCGCATCGCCTTCCGCTTCTCAATATCTTCGGCGCTTACGGTAGGCTTGCTCGCCTCCGCTAGACGCTTGGCTTCTTGAGCCTTGTCGGCGTACGCGTAGGCGTTCCACTACAAAGAGGGTTAGTCCGTGTATACGAGTAGAAAACAAAGATACCATACGTCTACGACGGCGTCCTCCCACCCATCCCGCGAGATGTCTTTCAACTCTGGCATCCGGGGTAATCGCAAAAGCCCAAAGCTCTTTGCAAGACCAACGAGGTCTAAATCCTTGAGCCGGAAAATGTACGACGCCTCGTGTTTTGAGTATGCGCGAACAAACGACACAAAGGCTTTCGCAGCCTACAGCTATGTCAGCAAGTGGGTATATACTTGGCAACTTAGAATCGTACCTTGTCATGTAATGCGCGGTCGGTCAATATTTTTCTTCGGATAGTCTCCATTGCCCTCTTGACCTCAGGATCTTCCGTGTCCATGTCGTCCTCAGATTTCGCGGAGCCATCCTGAGCGAATGCCGGTCGCTGCTTCATGGGAATCTTCCGCACGGACATGAACTCGACATAGTCGACTTCGCGCCCTACGAGTAGCACCCATGCACGGCCGCTTCGTCCGGCACGAGCCGTTCGCCCACATCGATGTGAGAACGCTTTGGGGTCTGCCGGAGGGTCAAACTGAATCACGACGTCGACGTCGGGGAGATCGAGGCCGCGTGCTGCTACATCGGTAGCAAGAAGGATGGAAGGAGATGTCGGAAGTGCGACGGAGTTGGTGAAGTTGGTGAGAGTACGCGACCTCGCGGTAGGGGGGAGGTGGCCATGTAGGGAGAACAGCGTGGTATTGGGCGGTAATAGGGGAGCGATTACCTGCAGAAAGCGATTAACATGAAGCCGTCACGCTGCTATCGTATTGAACACCTTACCCGGTAGAAGTAATCCACACACGCACAAGTAGCGAAGTAGACAATGAAGCGTGCAGATTGCTGCTGTTTCACCTCGTGATTGATTATGCGGGTCAGCTGCACGAGCTTCTCGGAGGCCGGGCAGGTCATGTAGAAATTCTGCAAGCTTGAGAAGGTTCTGTGAATCCGTTTACAATGGCAAGTTCGACGTATGTGACATACTTCGCAGGAATCCGTCGCTCCTCGATCACTTCTCGTTCTACCTTTTTCCCATCGGCAGTGACACTTTTGCCCTTCGTTTTCTTGGCCTGAACTTTGACTACGATACGCGCAGGATTCCGTAGCCCAACGCGGACGAGTTCAGACATCGCATCGGCGTCCGTCATGGTTGCACTAAACAGCCCCGTACGGCGTTGCTTGGGGAGGTGCGTTAATATCCGAGTGAGCGCTGCATGGAACCCGAGATCTAGCAGCCTGCATCTGGTTGAGTATGTATCCCTAGAAGACGGATATGCGTGCGTACCGGTCGGCCTCGTCCAGGACTAGAACCTCTAGCTCTTTCACACTTACGACATTTTTCCCCTTCCCGAGAAGGAATTCCTCCACTCGCCCGGGTGTGCCAATGACAATATCCGCACCAGTAGACAGGAAACGTTGAACATCCTCCGCAGGTGGGGAGTCGGAGGATACGATGAGCAAAGGGGCGGGATATTCGGGCTCAAGTTGTACGTCTGAGCCCGAAGCTTCGTCCGGGGAGGGAGACCGTGCACGTCTTGAGGGTTGGGAATTGAGGAATAGGGAGAATACTGAGTGTATCTGCGTAGCCAGCTCTCTGTATAGGGCGGTATCAGGAGGAGAGATAGTCCATGAATGACGGAAGATCGCACCTAGTCGGGCTGATAACCAAAGCCCCGACCTCGTTTTTGGCCAGCTTGCGTTCCCTCCTGATGAGCTTCTCGAGGATGGGAATCACAAAGGCAAGCGTTTTCCCAGAGCCCGTGACGGCTTCGACGACTACGTCCTTGTGCTTCATGAACAGTGGGATAGTGG